GAGGGGAGGAGTGCGCGCCTCTTCCGCGCGACCCTTCGGGAGATTGAGAACCGTTAAGTCAATGAGATAAGTTTACGCTACCATATTGATTCGGCGTTGCAGCTACCTTTTTCTCCTCGCTCCTCGTTCGGGGGATGATTTTATTGCGCTCGCCTTGTACGCGAAACGAAACAGAGTTTACCTATGAAATGTACAAGCTTTTTTTTAACACGTTAGCTGAAATCTTTCTGATACATAATGGAACGTGTGATGAGAATGGAGGGGTGGACGAGTCACAAATCTCAAAACCGTAAATATATTAATTTAATGTAGAAAAGTGTGAAATACGCGTGGTATTTCTTTTGCCTTTCGATTCATTAAATTTTTATTAAGTACGTTAAGTTACATCTCAAATCTTTTTCCAATTTCTTTATTTCAGCAGAAACTATTTACATATCGCAGTTTGATTTTTTTTTTAAGACGAACTCGGCTTAATTTCTTATGTTCCGAAAAAATTAATTCTTCTTTATATTTGATTATCTTTTTCTTCTCGTTATTATCTGTTTTGTCTCGCTATTTTTATTTCTCTTTTTTTCTCTGTCTCTTTACGCTTTTTGTCCCGTTATTTTCCCCACGCCTTTGCCCACCGCCGCTGCACGATCATCCATCCCCCATCGACGGCTCGTCTCGGCTTTACTCCCTTTGCGCCCTGCAACGTTTCAGTCGCTTCGGGGGCGGCATAATCAGCCCTTGTCGGAAGGGTGTCACAGCAGTTAACCGACACACCCGGAGTTTACGATGGAGCGACGTCGTCGTCGTAAATTCCTCGTGCATTGTTTGGGAATTTGCGAGCGCTAATCGGTCGCCGTCACGTCGGCGAAAGGCGCGCCGACGTCGTCGTTGTCGTCGACGACATCGTCGCCGTCGCATCGTTGACGCTCCTCGCTGCAAGATTGACGTTCAACGTCGACGACGTTGGCTCGGAGGTCCGTCATCGATGGATATTATTCGCGGAATTTCACGCTGGCGCCCTGGCGAATTTCTCAAATTCGCGAACACGATCGTACGGCGCACTTATCGGATCGCTCGGGGGAAATGGATGTACCGATAATCCAACGTCGGATTCATTTTTGAAATAGCGGAGAAATATTATCAGATTACTCCTCTCGCGTAGCGTTAAAGAGATCTGACGTTTTGAAAGCGGATCTCTCTTTTTTTTTTCATATCGCATTCCGCCTGATATTCGCGTATTTTCCGAAATTTTAGACTCGTATATCGTATTTCCGTAACCGGTGTATATTAATTTATAATCGATACGTTTATTTACACATTTATCATCGCAAGACGATTATCACCGCCGACTATAAAGCACGGGAATTTAAACGCGATGCGCGCCCCCCATTTCACCGCGACGCCGCGGCGCTTTCGAAGCGCGCGCGCGCGCGCGCGCGATCGATTTAATCGCACGACGAAATAACATTTAACACGTTTATCAAATAATCAGATCTCGTAGAACAATGGTCGGTCGGATTTAACCGCGTATATTATTCGCGTTTCAACGACGGGCGGCGGGTGCGCTGAGCCCCTTCGTGCGTGAGCCCGAGATACATAAATAATCATTCTCCGTTCCGTAAAGTTTCGCGAGTACCTGGCTCTCGGTACCTCGACGAAGTACTCCCGGGTACTTACGACCGGGTATTTAATTTAGTGTATGAATTTTATGCGCGGCAAACGCCCTTCCCTCCCTCCTACTCCCCTCGGTGTTGCACGCGTTCGCTTATAAATCAGCCCCGGCCGACATTCTCTATCGCGTGTAACGTGCACACGCAGGGGTTGCATCGCGCGCGCACAGCCTCTCTTCAACTTCTCCGCCTATATCTACCCTCCGGTGGCGCGCGATGTGCAAACTCCATTATAGGAATTTTCCCTCCGTATACGCGAAGGCTGCAGCAAATATTTCACGATCGATCGACTAAAGGGAGACAGAAGAGGGAACGCCGGCCGGCCGACGGTTCGTCCTCCCCCGCATAAGGGCGAACCGAGGGAAATCGAAGCGGATGCCGCTTGCCTGCTCGCGTTACGATAGGTCAGCGTTGAAATTCAAAGCGGTCCTTCAAAGAGCCCATTAGCCGGCACAAAGTGACATAAATCGTCCTTAATGCGGTATGACCGCGCGTTCAATGGCCAACAAGGTTATCGCGGTTGGTACTTGAGAATAAGCCGCGCATTAAAAATGCATCGCTAATTTTACCCTGTTTCCTCCCCTCCGTTCTAGTGGCGTCCGCTTTTCGATTCGCGGCGCGCCTTCTGTTGCTTTTCAAATCTCCTTTTGAGAAATCGCACCGTGTCTTATTCGCGTTGTTTCACATCTTCGTGCGTTTTATTTTTGACGAAAAACGGATCGCTAACTATGTTATTTATTTTTTATGATTTATAGTACAAATTTCTTGTGAAACAGGGAGACGTGTCGTGGGGAGGGAAAGGCTGCATCACTGGTGAAGACGAGATTAATAGTGTTTCTCGTTCGGTTACACTGACGGGAATTTACGATGCTACTAATGCAGTTACCTCGCCTTAAAAATAATGATTTTTAAAACTAAAAGCGACCCCCTTCCCTCGTCTCTTCACGTAGACCAGAGGATGAGGACCGGCATGGAAAAAATGGGATGGTGCATTATGTGTAATTTACAGAATGTAAATTACAGAATCTCATTAGTATTTTAGTAAAGCGGCCTTTTTTGTATATTAAGCGCAAAAGTTGCCGAGCATACAACAGTGCTCTTTTCTAGGTATTCCGAATTAATTTTGCATCTTTTCAAAATCCACATCTCGTTCCTGAATTTTATAATTTTCTCAATTTTGCAAGATCTGCTCGAATAATTATCATGTTTTGTCGCGTAGTTTGATCAATCTGTAAAATAATGATAATATCGGGATAATATTGAGGCTCCAAGCGATCTGTTAAAGCGCTTATCGACAAATCCGTCGCTGTTCCTGCTTAATTCAAGCAGATTTAACCCGTTAAAGCCTCTAATAGTCGGAAACTTGTTGACGAAGCTACGCTCCCCTGACTCAAGATAGTATCCGCGAGTTCACATGCTCCATCATACAACAATAATTATATATTTTTTGGTTTATACGATATACAAAGCTATACGGTGTTATATATATATATAGCGCAAGTAATAATAGTGAATTTAAAAATCACTGATAAACTTCGATAAGCGACGTCCGGAAACGAGAGAGTTGAAAAGCCTGACGTTTCGCCGATGTTGTAAAATTCATATCGAACAGCGGCGTAAATCAGCCGAGAGGGGAGACTTTCGAGAGGACGCGTTAGAGAGAAACGCGTTAAGGGAAATTGACGGGCGATAAACGGCCGTTACGTGGTACACCCTTCTTGCCTCGTCTCTGCGGAGAGCCGCGGAATATCAGTGAAATTGCCGGTATCTCTCCGCGGAACGGAACGGAGCGGCGCGACGCGGCGTCTCGTATTCGAAGAGTCAAGTTCCTCCGCCGAGTCGGCGGGTGCTTCGCTTTATGCGATTGCGGAAAACGACGGAGGAAAGGGTAAGAAGCGGATAGAAGATAAGTTATTGCTCGTCGAGGTATGCGGCTACGTATTTCCTTATACTTCCACCTCGCGCTCGGCATCTTCCTTCTCATTCCGGCGTCTATTGTTGGATTACCCTCGCTGAAGGGTGTTTATGAATGCGCGCGCGCGCACGGCGGTATTGCGTCGTCCGTCTAGATTTAAATCCCATCCATTTGCGGCCCGCAAATCTTATATAATCGCTGCCGGCAAAGCGTATCGTTCGACCTGATGCTTCATTCGCATGAGCGGTGTCTCCGGCGTGTATACGTTCTCGTACAATCGCCATCTCGTAGAACAGGCTACACGGGGTTTCCCGGGAAAACTGCCGGGAATCCCGATGTTTCGCGGATCATCTTAGATCGGCCGATTCTTCGTTACAACTGTGTGGAACATCATCGTGCCTTCCAGCTTTTTAATATAGAGATATTCAGATATCTTTATAGCTTATGACTTTTATATCGAATAGCTTTATCGAAAATCGACAGTCGAGAATTGGAAGAAACTAATTAATGCGTCTTAAGTATTTTTATTCCGAAAAACATTCATTTACTAATAAATTGTCGTTTAACTATTCTCTTCGCGCATTCTGGACCACCCTGTATATATGGTACGTTGCCAGGCTTATATCGGCATTGTGTGCAAGTAGATCAAGATTAATGAAACGTTATACCTTCCGCGCCGGGATGCATATCTTTCCGCGCGAAACTTCGCATCCAGAAATGATGATTTCACGAATGTATTAGATTACTCAACCGTTATATGCACGTTACGCATATTTCTCGCGGATTCGGCAACGTTCTCTCCTGGTCTTTATGAATAAAGCGAAACGGTCGCAGACGGTACTTTAAAGTAAAGGGTCCATTCCGCGCGTGACTCCCGCGCGTTCCTGACATTTCTCACAGTCTGGCACCGTCGAGCGTGAAATATTTTTCGCTCTCGGGAGAATACGGAAGACGCGTTCGAAGACGGGAGAGTGTCTACGCAATCGACTTGTCGCCTCTACTTATTTCGTCATATCTCCCTTGCTTTCTCCATTTCCTCATTATTCCCCGTTACTGACGGTAACGTCGCTCGCGAGCGCGCGGCCTCGTCTCCGCGTAAAGTGTCCGTCCTCCTTCATCTATTTTTCACGAGCGAGAAATAATGATCGGGCTCCGGCTTTTACGCGACGCATCCACTCTCGATTTCAGAAGAACGACGCTCGGTGCGGAAGAAAGGGAGACGGGAGAGGTGAGAAAGAAAGGAAGAGGAAGAAGCGGAGCGGAGGAGAGAATAAGGACGGATTTCGGAAGCTGTGCGCACAGAGGCGGAGAAAGAGACTCTGCTGCACAGGGAGAGGGGAGAGGAGAGCTACTCCCGATCGGTCCCGGTCCGATAAGCGGCTCACAAAGGGACAACTTTGCGAGAGATGATCTTGTTTACGTACCGGGTATCGATTTACCGAGATCGAGGTACTCCCGCACGGACGGGCTCAGGAATCCGGGCGGCACGACCGGCGCCTCGTTCGTCGGATTGTTCCTCTCGTCCACAGGATCATCGTAGTAATAGTCGTCCTCGTCGGGATCGAGGGGCTTCGCCCGCTTCGACACTTTGTTGCTCCGACTGCCACGCGCACCGCCTGCAAAAACAATTTTTAACTGTAAAAGATATATCTGTCATGAGTGACAAGCGTGAAATTTTCGACGAGATCGAAGAGAGAAACGAGGAATCTAAATATTATTTAACGCATTGCACGTTAAACATTTTTCACGATTTAGCTCTGTGATTAAGTTCGTGCTTCAAATACGTTCAAATCTATTTTGCTTATTGAGACGAAATTTGGTAGACTAGAGTTTCCTAATATTTAAAATTCAAGTATTTTAATTTACGGTCCGAGTCGCGATTTGTCCCGAGACTAATGGCTCTGATATCCTCCTTTTAATTGCACTGTCCGCGCGCTTTTCTCTCCCTATTAATTCGCATGATTGAAGTATCCTTCTGTTTCTACTGTTATTTCCTTCTTGATAAGTCCGACGGTCTCTCCGCGAGAGGAGGGAGAAAAAAAGAGTGGGAACCGGAAGAGAAAGAAATCGGCCGCCATCTGGAACCTCCCCGCCCCCCGCCCGGGGGTTTTGGTCATTTGAGCAATCTGAAATTTAAATCATTTGAAAATGCGGCCGACCGCGTCGCCGAGGTGGCTCCCGGAGGTAAACAAATTTTTACAGTCTCTTTAATTCATGCGGGGAAACGTTTAATCGATGTTGTCCATCGCCCCGCGCGCGCCGTTTTTCCTCCGGGAGAAACACGGTCGCGCAATGCCGCGTCTCCCCACCCTGCCCCTCCCGGATACAGATGCACAGCGGTATTTGCGTTCCAGATGCGCTTCGTCCGTACCCGTACATTGGATTCCTTCCACTGTACGTTTCTCGCTGAATAATATGCGGTAATTTTCGCGAAACCCTATATCCGTTAAAACATTTCGCTCGGCGAAACGACGGGACGGGACGGGACGGGGGAGGGGTGTGCCTTCGGCAAACGTCGAATTTTCCGGTGCTCCATGTCAAACATTCGACAACTTCCTATAATTCGTACCGTATCAAACGCAGCTTGTCCGATCGAGGAGCGGTTAACAGCGGTAATTTAACGACGAGAACTGGTCGTCGCCGCGCGACTGAAAATTAATTAGCTAACGAAAACTTGCCGAAGCGTGTTAATTTCGATCAAGTGCCGGCCAACGTGCCGGCTCGGATCACCACGTAAGGCCACCGTGTAGAGTAGTGTACACGCGAATGTATCTTGAATAACGCAGTCGAGTGGCGGTTGCGGCGACGACGGGGGTGCCGCGGTGGCCGCAAAACTTCGACGTGCCCTCTCTCGTCCGCAGGTGTGTGCCCCGCGCGGAAACTTTACGTCGTCGACCGGTGCCGCCGCGTGAATGGACGAAGTTTCGTGTTCCGGTCGGCGGATTGGGTCGAGCCTCGGGAATCTTGAATCTGGCTCCTCGGAATAAAAGTAGCCGCCGCCTTACACGAGAAGTGCCGAGACTGCTAACGAGAGTTTACGCATCCGAATGAAGTGATATTTAGTATCGGAGATTATAGGATTCGAACAAAGCTTCGGTTATCACTCGCTCCTTGATTGAAATTAACCATCGATCGACGAATTGTTATTATAAAAATCGATTTTCAGGAGCTAAAAAATTTGATTATTTGCTATTTAAATTGGTAAAGCGTTAATGTCAAAATCAAATATTTCTCGCAAACGTGAAAATCTCTTTCCATTATTTTGCTGTATAATTAATAAATACGAATGTCACATTTATTCAGCTATTCAACCAATTTCCTTGGAATTGGCGCTTTGCTATAAAATTATAAAAAGCAAATTTTTAATCTATAAATATATTTTTTCTAACTTGAATATTTTAACTAACACACTGTTCTTTCTGTTTCAGGTAAGAAACAATAATAATCTAAACCGGTCTTTGTTGGGTGAGTGATCTGTCTAATTTCTCTATTGCATGTATTGCATAATTTCTCTTACGCATGTTTCTTCAATTTATTCACATTTGTTACATAAAAAAAAAGGAAGTCATCCATGTTTATCATACCGGATAAATCACAGATTTTCCGTAGGTGTGAAATCAATTCGTCGTGCTTCTCACCGCAGTTACAACACGCAAACGTATGCGCGGAATTCATGATTAACGCGATAAATTCGACCACGCGTAATCGCGCTATGAATCCTTAGTAGGGCGTATCATAATCGCGGGGAGGCGCGTACGTGTTACGCCGGTTTACGAAGGCTCGCCAGAATCCCGTGTTCATCCTATTTGATACCGGGCCGCAGCGTCCGTGTCGCGGAAGCTAATTAATGGCTCATCGACGGGCTGAACTTTATGCGTCAAAACGCCGCGGTTTAATTCGCGCTCGCGGACAATGCGTCCGTACGCGCGCGGGATTTGCGATCGCGTCGCTGTATCGCTGATTTTCTTTTTTTGTTTTGCTGCCCTCCCTCTCTCCCTCCCACCCTTTTTGCACCCCACGCATGAATTTCGCCGCTGGTCGCGCGTGAAATACGATTTTAATGTTACGCGGGACCCCGAAAATACTCACTGTAAATACTATTAAATATCGCAAAATATTCCCGCTTGTTTTTTTTCTTTTTTCGGGACAACGTCGCGAGACACAACGTCGGAGAGTAATCGTTGCGATTGTGAGAATTTGTGCGAGTGACTGGCGCATTTCTTTCGCACTCGTCCGGCCGTTCGAGAGTACGGTCTTTGCATAATTTAACAAACGCAGTCACTCTTCCGCTCTTTCATCGACCGTCGTCCAATAAGTCTTTATCATCGCTCGAGATTATTACGATTATCTGTGTCGTGGATATTCCAACCCCCTTTGAAGTATATCGTTACTTCTTTAGCTAGTTTTACAATTTCGCTCGTGTCGTCCGTAGCTTCATTTTGCTACGTATTTATGTTATGCCGCTCGCAAAAGGTGGATCGAGTTCCGGAGTATAATAAATATTGTCTATCCGTCCGTCCTCTCTCCGTTTTCCATTAAAGGAAGCGGAGTGGAGCACGCGCGGAAGAAAAAGAGTCTCGCGCGCGCGCGACGTAACTATTTTCTACGTTTCGCTCGACGCGCAAATATCCCAGGGAAACGGCGCTTTAATATCGCACTGCCGCATGAAAATTCACCGAGAACCGACCGAGGTGGGAGAGAGCGAGAGGGAGGAGAACGCGGGAACAGACACGTCGGTCGGAGAACTGCAAAGAAATTGGCAAAAAAAAAAAGAAGGAAAGAAAGGAAGGAGAGGGCGGCGAAGAATGGGAGGAAAACGGAGAAACAAGAGTTGAAAAGTACGATCGCGTTTCTCCGGCATGGTCCTCCGCAGTCCGCACGCTTGCGTGCGTACGTGCGTGCGTGCGTGCGTGCTGCGTGGGAAAGCCGATCGACTGCAATTTCGCGGACGCCGCGGTATCGTCCGCCGGAGCGGACGAGAAAAAGCGCCGCGATGTACAAACACCGATCGCGCACACTAATTCTCGTATTTATCCGCGCGTGACGCCGATTATGCACGCGCGCGCAGGCATCGGAAATCGCATATATAACCACTCACTTCACCGCGCCGGGCGGGGGAGGGGGGGAGGAGAGGTCAAAGGCGACGCCGGACGATGCCAGCACCACGCCTATTTATCCGGACATCGTGTTTCCTTGCACGGGGAACCGGCTTAAAGGACGTTAAATATGCATGACGCTGTCGAATTGCGTTGACCCCGCGATCTCCACGCGTGTCGCATTTAGCACGTCGATGAGGCTTGTCGTCGATATTTCTGTACCTAATTCCGACGAGCGCTCGTGCCGACGAGGATCCCTCGGAGGCGACCACGATCCCGGGAGATGCGCGAGCGAGGGACATTATCCTCGGTCATACACGACGATTACGACGTTACGTGAATGCTCGGTTTCGCAGGATCGGTCGCACGCCTGTCGGCGAAAGCCACCCCACGAGCGTAAAAGCGGTTTGCGCATTTTTTTTTTAAATGAACGACGGATTTTGGATTTTCTCGAATTTACGAGACGGTGATGTCCCGGATGCGCGCCGCGCGCGTTTTCCCCGATATCGAATGATAAAATACGGACGCTCGCGCAAGTATCGGACTGCGGGATCAAATAACATTTGTTATATTAAATGCCACGGACAAACAGGTGTAATTATTCGGCCGGTCTGGTTGGATGCCGAATAATTATCAAATGCGTATACCGGCGGCAAAAGTAGGTATTAAGCGTACTCGACCCGAACTAAATTACCGCGGCGGGGTGTGTAATAACGCATGGATGCGTGAGGACGCTGCGAATCGATTCGCTGGCCTACCCCGAGGACGGCGCGGATGGATGAATTAAAAAAAAGAGAGAGAGAGAGAGAAAGAGAGTTTCTATTTCCGAAAGACAAATCGGGATATGATGCCGCCGCAGCGACCCCGGGCCAGATGTCTGCGTGTGATAATTAACTATCGATCGCTGCCGCTTCTCCATTAGCCGCTGCATTTTCGGTGGCCTAATTATTCTCTTGTTCGTTCTATCGCGCTGGAGGAAAACGGTCGCGATCGACGCGCTTAAAAACGAGGAAGAGAATAATCACTGACGCGAAAACTTCGCGAGCGAGCTCGATCGCTTTCCACGACTCGGCAAGAAATCGTCGGACAAATTGCGAAAAACTGGCCAGGAATTGGCTGTCGCGATTATTGATTACTGCGAGAGACTAGAATTTAGGTTTCTTTATTCACGAAATTTTCCATAAACATATGATTGAAATTTCGATTGGCGTCAAGAGAAAGAAGAGTTTTTCTTTCGAGAGCGTCATAGAATGTTGTACATATGTTACAACTTTCGCGTTGCGGTTGGAATATCGCAAAATCTTGTTTCGATAATGATCAACGAGGTATCTTCATATATCAGAGAGAGGGATACATTGCGTTTTAGAAAATTTCGCATGCATCATAGAACGATATGTTGAGGTTGGATTGACGGATATTAATAAAGATCTTTATAATTTGCAACTATTCACAAAATTCCGTGATCGTCGGATGTTATTAGCGAAGCTTGTCGATTTTTTTTACACAAGCGAATCAAATAA